ATTCAGTGCGTGTCAGTTATGCCTAATTCATTAAAAAAAAAAAAAAAAAAAAACACACCACCAAACCCTACTGAGAGCTGGGGATTCTCAGTCCTGCAGACTCAGCGCTGTCTGCGGTGCCCCGGTGCTGCCTTCAGGCTGGCTCAGAGCAGATTAATTCCATGGATCCGCAGGAGCAGCGAGTGCCTCGGCTCCCACCCGCAGCGGGGGGGGGCTTGGGGAAGGGCTGGCAGGGCTGGCAGGGGGAACAGCAGAGAGGGGAGGAGGTGGGGAGAGGTGTTTGGGGCTGGGTGTGTGCTCCTCCTTGCTCCTCACCCCACTTGTGTGTTCTCAGCTCCATCAGGAGCTGCCAGAGGGCTGCCAGAGGTGTCCAAGCCCTCAGTCTGGGCTGAAACCACCAGCTTCCCAGTTCTGGTGTCCCTCCTGAAGGCAGAGCTGGTGCCAGGAATGACAGCTCCCTTTGCCATGTTATGTCACTCTTCCCATCGGTGTTTTCAGCCCTCACCCCTGTCCAAGGTGCAGCTGTAAATCAGCCCTTGCAGGACCTGCAGTTCAGAGCATCTCACTCCCTTGTCCTGAACCGACTTCCTCCCTCTGCTTCCTTCCACTTGCTGACTCTTCCAGACTGAACAGGCAATGAACCTTGTATTAAAAAGGCTGAATGTGAGCTGCTGCACACTGTCAGTGTCTGCCTGAATTCCCTGGATCCAGGCAAAGCCTTACAGGGGCTGAGGAGGGACTGAACCCCAAAGCATTGTAGTGAGCAGTTTTTTCTATCTGTGTCAGTGACACTAATGTGACATGTCCTGGATTTAGTGCCTGCTTTGCATCTGAGTCCTGGGCATATACAACTGGATGATTCCCAATCCTCTTTGCTTGTGTTTATCGTGGGGAAGGGAGCAGGAAAGGTAGGAACACAATATATTTTGTACTAGGCAGTTCCAGACCCTCTGAAAGAAGGAAGAATTTGGGATATCCAGGCTTGAGCTGTAAGTGCAGTGTATATCTGCTGTAGTCTGTGAAAACAGCCCTGGCATCTGATTATTGATGCAAAAATGCCTCTAATTGCCTGGTAGTTTAAAGCTTCTGCTTAGTGGGCTTCAGAGCCATGGAAGGGTTCCACAAAAGGGTCAGCTCAGCCAAATTTGGGGTCTCCACAAAGCCATAAGGAAGGTGAAATGTGCAGTGAGCTCAGCTGCATCTCTGGCTGCTGGCACGAGCTCTGTTAATGGTCTTACAGCACAACAGCCTCTGTTGTTACTGCCAGCTCAGCTGTTTGTGTCCCTTGGCTGTGGAAGGGAAGGAAGAGTCTGCAGGAACACAGGAGCACATCGTGTCTTCCCAGCCCTGCTCCCAGGAGGGAAGTTGTGCCCGCCCCACAGCTGGGCAGGGCTTTGCCTGTGCCCCCTTGGGCTGCCCCAGTCTGCTCCTGCCTTGAGTGGTGTTGCACGTTTCAGTTCTTTGGGGAATGCTGGACAGGAAAATGGGCTGTGAATCCTCTCAGAGGGGGTTAAAAAGGGGAATTCTGATTTCTGGTGCAGGGGTGATGGAGATGCACTTGGAAGGAGTGATTCCCGCTTGTGACTCCACTGTGGTCCCCTCCTTCCCCAGGGATCCGTGCTGTTGCTCCACCCCTGGGTGAGTTCTGTGCTGTTGTGGGGGCACTGCTTTGGCTCCAGCACTGGGAGTGGAGATCTGAAGCTGCTGGGCACAACTGAGTAGCACTGCCAGGAGCCCCTGTCTGCCTAGGGCTGAGCCAGAGGAGGTCTGCAGGCAAAAACAGGGACTCTGTGCCTGGGGAATGGACCCCCAGTGCCCAGGAACGGGGGGTGACACCACTCCCCTGAAAGGGAAACTGGTCTGTGCTGCCCTGTTAGTGCTGTGACACACTGGGGCCGAGGTGAGTGCCAAGCAAGGGCTCCATGGCTTTTCCACAGGTCCAATGGCAGCAGTTCTGTGGGAGATGCAATGATGTGCACACAAAACAGGGCTTTGTAACTGGCTTACTGGGATGTCAACACAGGGATAGGGCACACATGGAGGTGATGGATTTAAGGACGACTGTGTGTCAGGCCTTAGGGCATGGCATGCCTTGGAGTAGGGGATGTCCTCTCATCCCCAGCAAAGCCTCATCCCCAACATCTGACCAGCTGCACAGGATGTGTCCTCGTGGTCTCCCAGCTCGCCTGCCAGACACAAAATCCCCATCCAGGCTGTCAACAAAAAAGCCATTCTCCAGGGCCTTCCTGGGGAAAGGGCAGGCTCGGAACTCCTCCCTGGAGGATACTCTGTTCCCTGTTTATTGTTCAGCACACTTCTTTTCACTCCCAGCAAAATATGGTTTTTTTGTGCAGAGAGAACAGGCCTCCCTTTGGGGGCAGGGATCATTTGCATTAATTAACAGAGCTGTTATGCATGGCCACGCTCTGTCGCATGGAAGCCAAACAAACGCCTTCTTTTTTATTCCTTTTTTTTTTCCCCCCTTTTTTTTTTGCCATAACCTCAGAGTTATTGCAAGTCAGGCACCGCATCCGCTCCGGCCGACGCGTGACACGTGCAGTCCTGCTGCTGTGTGCTCCACAAAAGTGGGCTTGTGTTTCCTTTCCCCCTCTGGAGCTCTGGACACTGCTTCACTGTCTCCCGTGGCCCAGGCACTGTTCCCCATTAATTACATCTTAGTGGCGCTCGTAGGCCTTCATTTCCTGGGAATGAAGTTTTAACAAGGAAATCAGGAATATTTAGTGCTGCCAGCGAGGTGGAGGGTTCAGCACTGGGAGCAGCATGAGCAGCAGTGAGGTGTTCCTTTCTGTTCCTTTCTGTTCCTTTCTGTTCCTTTCTGTTCCTTTCTGTTCCTTTCCTTTTTCCCCACTGGTTATATATTCTGATCCATTAAAGCAAAAGAGCTCTGTTGGGAACAAGTTGTTGTGGAGCAGAGGGGACAGTGGGAAGTGGGACTGAAGGCGTTGTACCCACTTCAAACCTTCAAGCAGCCCCATGCCAGGGCTTCAGGAGGGTGACCCTGTCCCAGAGGGGCTGGTGGGTGGGTGAGTGGTTCTTCAGAGCTGGATTGCTGAGGCTGTGGTGTGGCTGTAGCCAAAAAGCCATCAAGCAGAGCTGGTTCAGGCTGCCTGTGGGACTGTCCCCTGGCAGTGGGGATGCTTGTGGAGCCCAGTGGCAGTGGCATGGCATCTCCCTCTAGCCCTGCTCCGTGCTTGGTCGCATCAGAGACCAGGTGACACAGAGGGGACATAGCTCAGGGTGGCCCCTCGCAGGTGACAGCAGGGAGGTGTGCCTGGAGAGGGGACTGAGCAATCGCTGCTCTCCTGGCCACGAGAATCATTGCAAGGAAAGATAATGTCACCCCTTGTCATCCTGCATTTGTACTTGCCCAGAGTCATGCAGTGACTCAGTGGCAGGGCTGGGAAGGGAGCCCAGCGCTTCCGACTCTTTGGAATCGCGTTTGATTCCTGCCGTGCCAGTGCGTCGGCCGCAGCCACCTTCAGCCTGCTGTGCCCTCTCTGTCCCTCCCCTGACCGCTGGAGCCCAGTTCTGTGCTCCTCCAGGGCGGCTAACCTTCCCTCACAAGTCTCCCAGAGCACAAGGAGAAGAAATCCCATCTTTTCCCAGCTCCTCTGCCCTGTCCTGCGTCGTCCCCCCGCTGCTGAGGAGCTGGGAGCTCCCGTCCCTCACTCCCAGCACCCAGGAGGGATGAGGCGAGTGCTTTAGAGCTGGAACATGACTTAAATACTGATGGGGACGAGTATGCTCAGCAGTGTGTTACACAGAGAAACCAGCTCAAGCAGGTGAGGAAAACCCTTGGGCTTGCAGCTAGGGATGGGAATAAAGGTGGGGAAGCACCGTCTGCCCTCTGCCCTAAACCTGCTCTAGGAAAGGACCTCTGGAGCCCAGGCAGAGATGTTAATAACTATAAACCTCCTTTGTGCGGGCATCTCTTATGTCCACACGTGAATTAGGAGAGAGAGGGTATCCTGGGGATGCTGCAGCTTTCCCAGGGGTGTAGGAGGAGGCCAGTTACCTCACGGGCCCTTCTTTCCTGTCAAGGGCACTGTGGCATCCTGCTCTCACTACTGGAAAGCATCAACAGGCACTGCCTTTGTTGTGTGCCCCTGAGCCTTCCCGGCTGACAGCGAGATGAGGAATCTCGTATCACAGAGGCTGATGCAAATAGAAAAGGGCATCGCAGGCTCCTCTCCGCTCAGGAAACATGTTTATTCATCTTTTTTCCTCCCCCAGACTCTAGTACGTGATACAACTGCTACTTAAAAAAAAAAAAAAAAAAGGAGTAGATGGCTGCATTCGTGGCTGAGCAGGCACAGAGCGGTGGGTTTCTATTTTTAGGCCCGGCACGGCGGGTGTAGGTGTGAGGGGAGGCTGAGGGGATTCTCTCGCCGCAGGGATGCGGGGGCAGGCGCACGCGTGCAGCACACGGCCTTATTTTTTATTCAAGCTGCCTTTTTTCTCCTGCTCCCTCCCCCCCTCCTTCCTCCTGCTGCTCAGTCATTCCCTCCTCACTCCCCCACCTTTTGGGTGATGCTGGCACGGAGACAGTCAAACGCCTTTGGAAACAGCGTGAGCAGCCTGGATGGAAACAGCGTGGGGAGGAAACGTCTCAGCACAAATAAAATGCCCTTGTTCCCTGATTAGGCAATTTTTGTTTTTATAGAGTCATTGAATCACAGAATAACCTGGATTGGAAGGGAACTTAAAGATCAACCAGTTCCAACCCCCTGCCATGGGCAGGGACACCTTCCACTAGACCAGGTTGCTCCAAGCCCTGTCCAACCTGGCCTTGGGCACTTCCAGGGATGAGGTAACCACAGCTTCTCTGGGAAACCTGTGCCACGGCCTCACCACCCTCACAGGGCAGAATTTCTCCCCAGTATCCCATCTAGCCCTGCCCTCTCTCAATGTGAAGCCATTCCCCCTTTTCCTGTCACTCCATGCTCTTGTAGAAGTCCCTCTCCATCTTTCTTGTAGGTTCCCTTCAGGTACCGGATGGCCACAATTCAGTCACCCAAAGCCTTCTCTTTTCTCTCCTTCCTTGCTGAAATTCTAACACAGGCAAGGGGATCCCTGGAGCTCCAACCCCCTCATGGGGAAGAATTTTTTCCTAATCTCAAACCTGAATTTCCTTCTTTCAGTTTGAACCCAAATGAGCAGGACAACATTTCCCTCGCAGGGGCTGGTTCGAGCTGTTGTTGCACAGGATCTTTGAGCAGTGCTGAGGGTTGTCTGGGGCTAGAGCTGTTCCTGCCTGGCTAATACTTTATTTTTCCCCCACACCAGAGCCGGTGAGAAGGGGAAAACCCCCCAGCTCCCTCCTGCAGCCATGGAAGGGGGTGTGCAGCTCCTCAACCGCGACGGGCACAGCATCTCCCACAACTCCAAGCGCCACTATCATGATGCCTTCGTGTGCATGAACCGCATGAGGCAGCGGGGGCTGCTCTGCGACATCGTGCTCCATGTGGGCACCAAGGAGATCAAGGCCCACAAGGTGGTGCTGGCGTCGTGCAGCCCGTACTTCCACGCCATGTTCACAAGCAAGTAGAGAGTTCTCCCTTCCCCTGTGGACAGGCTCTCCCTGCCCTCCAAACCCTCTGCTCTCTGCCAACCCCTCCGCTTTCTGCCCTGCTCCCTGTTCTCGCTGCCCTGCCCTATGGAATTGTGGTGCCAGTGTGTCATTTCAGTGAGGAAGTGCAGTAATATTCCTCCTTTGACTCCCTGCCCTGAATCCCTGGGCCCATAACCCCTGCAGAGGTGTCTTGATGCCCCTCCTGCAGACCTGGACCCCCTTCCCTAGAGCGCACTCCTTGCTAAGAGAGGGGCAGAAGACCCTCCTGGGCTGTGATGGGGAGGTGGATGAGGCTTGGTTAGACTCTCCTGTGGGGAAACAAGTCCTGCTGAGGGATTTTTGCTCATTGTTGTGTCTGTGTTGCCCCAGATGAGATGAGTGAGAGCCGCCAGACCCACGTGACGCTGCACGACATCGACCCTCAGGCCCTGGAGCAGCTGGTGCAATACGCCTACACCGCCGAGATCGTGGTGGGAGAGGGGAACGTGCAGGTAGGAGCTTCCCCCCCAAAATCCCTCCCTTCCACAAAGCTGTTCTGTACGAAACTCACCTCCTGGGGACTCTTCTTTCCTTCTGCTCAGCACTGCCAGCTGTTTTTTCTGTGAAGGCAGCTGGATCTAGCAGTGGTCAGGGAGTTCACCTGCTTCTCCATGCCCAGAGGGGCTGGGAATGGTTCCTCAAAGAACTGTGCAATGCCCAGGTCTATTCCTGAGCACCTGCCGTTCTCCTGGCCCTGTGGGGTGTTACTGGTGTCCTTCTCAGCTGTTCTTTACCTTAGTTCTCTTGGAAACAAGGAATGCTCTGTCCTTCCCTGCGCTTGTGTGCCTGAAGGTGCTCAGTAAACCTGTTCTGCTCGTGGCTTGCAGTGAGACGAGGGTGGAAACGGTTTCCTTGCCCTGGAAACTCTCTTTTCCCCCGTTCTTTCCCACTGCCAGACACTTCTTCCTGCTGCCAGCCTGCTTCAGCTCAATGGTGTGCGGGATGCTTGCTGCAAGTTCCTGCTCAGCCAGCTCGACCCATCCAACTGCCTGGGGATCCGGGGCTTTGCTGACACCCACTCCTGCAGTGACCTCCTCAAGTCTGCTCACAAGTACGTCCTCCAACACTTCGTGGAGGTGTCCAAGACAGAGGAGTTCATGCTGCTGCCTCTTAAACAGGTGAGGCCCCGATGAGAGTGTGAAGGTGTGGGTGCAGCAAAGCTTCTCGTGCTCTGTCCTGGAAGGCACAGCCTGTGTGTCAAAAGCCCAAGGAACCTGCACTGAGGGGACAGGGTTTGGCAAGGGAACATACCCAGATTCTGTGCTTTGGTCCTCTCTGTTCAATGTGTGGGAAGATTGCTGTCAGAGAACTTAATCCCATGGGAATTAAGGATGGGAGGGTAGGACAGAGGATAATTTTGGTCCCTGGTGCTTGCCATGTGAGCTCTGAGCACACAGTCCAAGGAATAAGTCCTGCCTGTCCTGGTCACGTAGCTGTGATGTTTAATTCAGAGCTCAGCTAATGTTTCCTGCTGTTCATCATGTGCCAGGATGGCCCCTGGCTCCTCTGCTGTGCCCTGGCCAGGAGGCACTCCCGGTCCTTGCTCTGCATCACCTGACCCTGTGTGGCCCCTCAGCAGGACCCAGACACCTCCTTTCACCCCTTCTTGGGGCAGGGGGTCCGTGGCAGTGAGGGGAGGTGCATATCTCCACCTGCTCTGGCTCCACAGTCCTTGGCAAGTGAAATGAGTGCTCTGGAACCAGCCAGGGCACGCGGGTCTGTCCCATGAAATATTGAAGGGGCCTGTGCAAGCAGAGTCGTCTGCCTGCTCTCACTGACGTTGATTGGAAGTGTCAGGAATTGCAGCAGCTTCAGCCACAGAAGGGGGGGATGAGCTGGGGGATGATGACTGAGGGCAGAGCTGTCTCCACACCAGCTGCACCTCCCGGTTTGGGGGGCACAGGGCTGTGCACCCTTCAACCACCAGCATCTACAGGAGGCAGGGCTCTGCCTCTGGCAATGCAGTTCCTTGGAGGTGTGAATGTCTCCTCTCCTCCCCGTCCATACCAACCAACACTGCCCCTTTTACTGCAGGTGCTGGACCTCATTTCTAGTGACAGCCTCAATGTGCCATCGGAGGAGGAGGTGTACCGGGCTGTGCTCAGCTGGGTCAAACATGATGTGGACAGCAGGAGACAGCACGTCCCCAGGGTGAGTGTGTGCTGGGAAGGTGGCCTGGATCTACCCACCAGCTCTGAGTGCCTGGGCTGGGTGGGGACACGGCTGGAGGGACAGCAGGTCCCATCATACCATTTCCAGTCCAGATTGGAAGGGACCTTAAAGCTCCTCTCATTCCACCCCACTGCCATGGCCATGGACACCTTCCGCTAGACCAGGTTGCTCCAACCTGGCCTTGGACACTTCCAGGGATGGGGCAGCCACAGCTTTTCTGGGCAACCTGTGCCAAAGCCTCACCACCCTCACAGAGAAGAATTTCTCCCTAATATCCAACCTAAATCTCTCCTCTTCTAGTTTAAACCTATTCCCCCTTGCCCTATCCCCATCCAAAGGCCTCCTCTCCCCTCGCAGCTCATGAAGTGCGTCCGGCTGCCCCTGCTGAGCCGGGACTTCCTCATGAGCAATGTGGACACGGAGCTGCTGGTGCGGCACCACTCGGAGTGCAAGGACCTGCTGATCGAAGCCCTCAAGTACCACCTCATGCCGGAGCAGAGGGGGGTCCTGAGCAACAGCCGGACGAGGCCGCGGCGCTGCGAGGGGGCCAGCACGGTGCTCTTCTCCGTGGGTAAGGCCCTGCGAAGGGAGCCCCCTCACCCGCATCCCGACCCCGTCCCGGGGCCCTGTGGGCCGGGTTTGCTCTGTTTGCCCTCCCTCCCAGGTGGAGGGAGCCTGTTTGCCATCCACGGGGACTGTGAGGCCTACGACACGCGGACGGACCGGTGGCACATGGTGGCCTCCATGTCGACGCGCAGGGCCAGGGTGGGCGTCGCGGCCATTGGGAACAAGCTCTACGCTGTGGGCGGGTAAGGAGGGCACGGGAGGTGGCAGGGGTGTGAGCAGAGCCTGTGGGGAGAGCAGCACAGAGCTGTCCCAGGAGCAGGGGTGGCCAGCAGGGCCTCCCGGAGCTCACCTCTGGATGAACCATCCAGGATCTCCGGGGTAGCAACTGAAAAGCCCTTCCCTGCCCTGTGGTTCGGAGCTGTGAGTTCACCAGTTCTTGTTTTGGTGGTGGCCGTGTCCCGGACTGGCATGGTTCCACCCCCATTTCTCTCAGAATCACAGAATGGTTTGGGTTGGAAGGAACTTTTGAGGTCATCTTGTTCCAACACCCTGCCGTGGGCAAGGACACCTTCCACTAGCCCAGGTTGCTCCAAGCCCTGTCCAACCTGGCCTTGGACACTTCCAGGGATGGGGCAGCCACAGCTTCTCTGAGCAGCTTGTTCTCCCTTTTTCTCCCAACAGCTATGACGGGACCTCTGACTTGGCTACAGTGGAGTCCTATGATCCTGTCACCAATTCCTGGCAACCTGAGGTGTCCATGGGCACCAGGAGGAGCTGTCTGGGCGTAGCAGCACTTCATGGGCTTCTCTATGCTGCTGGGGGGTACGATGGGGCCTCGTGCCTGAACAGGTAGGGGATTGCAATGCTACAGGCTCCTCCACTGCTTGTGCATGCAATGTCCTTGGTGCTGGGAGCCTGGGAGCCCTGCTCCTGACCCATGGACTTACCCCAGGGTAGATGTGTCGCAATCCAATGGGGAAAAACCATTTTGTAGCCCTCTGCCACAACAGGACGCAGCCTTTGTCAGTTCTTCCCTCCTATTTTCCCTGTCTATTCCCAAGCTTCCTTGGGAGCTGCCCCTGAGGGCCTGTGTCAAAGAGCTTTGACCTGGGCTTTTCCAGTGTCACACCTTATGTTCCTGTGTCCCTGCCTGCTGCAGCGCAGAGAGGTACGACCCTCTGACAGGCACCTGGACATCCATCGCTGCCATGAGCACCAGGAGACGCTACGTCCGGGTGGCAACTCTAGGTGGGTGATGGCACGAGGACCTCACAGGCTTCTGTGCAGGCTCTCTTGCATTCCTGGTGGTTCCTTTTGATGTTCTGTCCTAGTTCCTGCCCCCTCTCCCTAGATTCCCTTCGCTGTGAGTCCGGATGGCCCAGCCATCCCTCTGCCATGTCCTGACATGCTGCCTGCCTCTGCCCTCCTCCTCAGTCTCCTGAGTAACTGGGTTTCATCACACTCTGTAGGCAACTCCTGAGGGAACCCACAACTTGTTCCTTTGTGCCCCTTCTACTCTGGAGCAAGGGGCTGGCTGTGAATGATCCCCTGTCCCTAGAAAAGGAAGGGACAACCTTGTTAGTCCTTCAGTATGAAAGCAGGACAGTCCTTTTGCTGATGATCCAAGTCCCACTCTCAGCCAAGCAGGTGCTGGGCCTCCCTGGGGATGCTTCCCACCTTCCCAAGAACTGCCACACGGTGTCCCAGTGTCCCTGTGCCTCTCCCCTGCCCTGTTCTCTGGTTTCAGCTCTCAGTGCTGACTCAGAGCTTCCCTCCCCTCCATCACCAGCTCACACTGTGCCTGCCACAGCCGATACTGGCATTCCCCTGCTCCATCCTCCACCACTAAAAATAGGCCGTTGCTCCAGCAGGGAGCACTTGCAGCTCCTGTAATGAGGAGGTCAAGAAGTTCTCTGGGAAGCTTGGAGCGTGGCAGAGAAACTGCCTGATGAATATTTCACAACACTCCATGCTGGAAGGGGAGGGGAGCTGGGGGAGCCCTGCTGAGAGGAGCTTGGCTGCCTGGGGCACGGGAGGCTCAGCTCATACCTGTGTGGGCACCCATAGGGTGGTACCTGTAGTGTTGTGGGACCTGTGTTGGGACAGGGACCATGTCTTTAGCTAATTCCAGTGCCTGTGTGACTGTCTTTGCAGAAGGCAACCTCTATGCTGTTGGGGGATATGACAGCTCATCCCACTTAGCCACGGTAGAGAAATATGAGCCCCAGGTAAATACAAGAGAGATTTTTATAAACTTTTTCCTTCTCCCCTCCTCTGTGGTGCCTGAAAGGACTTAAGCCACTGTGCATGACTGTAACAAGGAGTGGGTATCAGCCCCTTCCACAGCGACAGAGAATCCGGGGTGTGATCCTGAGCAAAATGAGCCACAGCTGATCCATGCAGGCTCTGAGATACCACTGCGAGATTTCAGCCACCAGAACACTCTCTACCCTGCTGCCTGTAGGCCAGCTCGAGTTCTGTAGGAAGAACAGTCCTGGTACATGCCCTGAGCTGTTTCCAGCTTCCAGCTGAGGTCCTGCACTGTGCACATCCAGTGTGGTGAACGGGGAGTGTGGCAGGCTGGGGACATGTGTTGGGCCTGAGGACTCACAGCTCTGCTCGAGCAGGGGAGATTGCTGCAAAAAATAAGAGAGAAGGTCCTGGAGGTTTTTCATGAGCTGTGCAGTTGTACTTGCAAAATACAATACTTGGAAATAGATACAGCTCAACCCCCATGGTCAGGCTGGATTCAGCTGTGACACGACTGGTGGCCTGGCACAGCGATCTCTGTGCCCCTGGGATGGCAGGACTCCTGCCAGCTCCCCCAGCGCTTTCCTGAGCCACTCAGCAGAGACTTCCGTGCTGCTCTTACTGTGGCAGAGTGGAAGGGAAAGAAGTGGGTTCCCCCCAGAAGTCCTTTTGGAGGGGGAGGAGGACTGTTGTGCCAGGAGCCGTGTGGTTAGAGCAGGACTAATACCACAGGACCGATTTGGCCAGGGATGGGTGGAAAACGCCCTGTACACCTGTCTGGTTGAACAACCATTGCCTGTTCCCAGATCAACACCTGGACACCCATCGCCAACATGCTGAGCCGCCGGAGCAGCGCGGGGGTGGCCGTGCTGGAGGGGATGCTCTACGTGGCTGGGGGCAACGATGGCACCAGCTGCCTTAACTCTGTGGAGCGCTACAACCCCAAAACCAACACGTGGGAGAGCGTGGCACCCATGAACATCCGCAGGTAAGGAGCCGTGCCCCGCTCTGGTGGCAGCAGGAGCGGGTATCCCACCTCGCCGTGCCTCGCTTGGCACCGCAAACTGTAAAACACAGCCCGTGCCCCCCTCCCAGGGTTTGGCTGATGCTCCTGCTGCGCTGAGAGGGGCTGGAGTGTGTGCCAGGAGGGCAGAGCAGGGGTGTTCTGCAGAGGGATTTATTCTCAGCAGTTTGTGTGGCTGTAAAGAACCGGGTGGTTCCGCTGGCTGAGGTCACGGAGATGTTGCTGGGCTGTGGGAGGATTTAAGGCTTGCAACTCCGAGGATTTTGGGCTTCTAGAGTTTGTTATTTAGAGGTGGCGGTTCTCCAGTGGCATGAGAGTGTCAGAGTGAAGGGGAGGACCTGAGAGTCTGTGCTGCACTCTGCTTGAACTCCAGTAGTTCATTTTCTCTGGGTGACTGTCAGGCTGGGCACTCCTTTTGTGGGGCCGGTTTACCCGAGGCGCTGAGCTCCCCTACACCCCAGAGCCTCACCCCGCTGCGGTCTCTGCGTGGTCGTTGCAGGAGCACCCACGACCTGGTGGCCATGGATGGGTGGCTGTACGCCGTGGGTGGCAACGACGGGAGCTCCAGCCTCAACTCCATCGAGAAGTACAACCCCCGCACCAACAAGTGGGTGGCAGCGTCCTGCATGTTCACCCGCCGGAGCAGCGTGGGGGTGGCCGTGCTGGAACTCCTCAACTTCCCTCCCCCCTCCTCGCCCACCCTCTCGGTGTCTTCGACGAGCCTTTGACAAAGAATCAGGACGTACCTTACCTCAAGGGGACAGGGGTGCCTGGCAGGGCTCTAGGCCGGCCCCGAGGGGCAGCCGGTCGCTGTAGGAGGGGAGCGAAGGTCCTGGTTGGTGCCTGCAGCCCCAGCACTCCTGTGAACCCCGGAGCTGTCCCCGCTCTTGGGGCGCCCATCGGATCAGCGCCACCACAGCAGTTAGAAATGTGCTTCCTGGACGAGCACCCTCGGTCGGAGGGCGACGACGAGGCGGGTGCTCTCCGCTCCGCTCAGACTCATCCCACCGCCCGCCCCAAGGGCTCATATCTCCTTTGGGGAGGGGAAACTCTAAACCATTGCTGCTTCTTGGATTCACGGGATCCAGCCGGTGCCACACACGAGCACAGCCAGCCTTGGAGGCTTCCAGGAGCCCTGTGGGGTGGCCGAGGTGGGCAGCGCTCCTGCCAAGGACACGGCAAATGTGCAACCACCGCTCCTCTGAATGTCACTGTAGCCAAACTCTTTACCAAGCCTATCGTGCACTGTTAAAGACTCTGAGGCCACTGTATGGTTCTCAATGGTGTCTCATTGATGCCTTAAAATACACAAACAGAAGAATCCCAGCTAAGGGACAGGGCCTGGAGGAGGTGAGGTTCGGAGGCAGAACTGGACGTAGCATCCTGAACCCTCCAGTGTTTCCATGCTCTGCTGGCCCCCACCTCATCCCCCGAGATCCTAGCTGGCCATTGCTCTGGGGAGTCCCAAGCCAGGCAGATGGGTTGGGTGACCTTGTTGGCATCCATGCCATTGCTGTCCCATGCTCAAAGGACTGGGTGGCTGCCTGCTCTCTGCACGTGGTCCTGGCTCAGACTGGAAAAGGATCGGCCTGTTTGCTGTTCCCCTCTCTGCAAAGCAGATTCTGGGTTTGTGGAGAGCTATCAGTTCTTTAAAAAGAACAGTCCAGCCTTCTAAATGAGGAGGATTGCCTGGCATTACTTCTTTTGGGTATTAATTTTTTGCCTTTTTTTAGTTGAATGCTAATATTTTAGTTTTTAATGACTTCATATCCCTTTGTTTTCTACGCTACCCTGGTATTCCCCATCCCATCTGCTTCTAAGGCAGCAGAAGGGATGCAATTACTTTTCTCATTTGTTGAGGAGACGATGCCTGTGTCCTGGAAGACGTTCTCTATGGATGTGTGGGGTGTGTGCATGTGTGAGATACCAAATGTGCAGCGAAAGCAGCACGGAAGGGACCATTTGCAATTAGCGACTCCCTGGCAATTAAGCAACCCCTTTAATTAACTGAAGGTTGAATAAATTAGTGCTGTAAGTCACAGGCCTATCCTAGACCTACCTGTGCCACGGAGCCTCTGGGGTGGTGTTTTCAGTGCGTGTGCTGTGCGTGTGAGCCGTGAACTGAGGCACAGATCAGGTGTTCTCTGCATTACAGAGGAATGACTCAACCACTGGTACCTCAATAGTGTTCAAATGTAGCACTGGAATACAATCTAACTGTTTGGAACTAATTCCTTTATCCCTTTTTCCCCCTGCTCCTTCTCGTTTCTCATTCACAGAGTTCAGATTACACTCGTGGTGGGGATTTGTTGGCCTGAATTTTCAAGTGACGAGAGGTTTCTTCTCTTTTTTTTGAGGGGGAGGTTGGGTGAAAGGAGAGTTTGAGATGAAACAGGGACTCCCCAGCTTAAGACAATTTTTTTTGCGGTCTGATTTCTCCTGGACTGGTGCCTGCATGTTTTGCAAGCCCACTGACATGCTTTACAAGCCCACTCACAGTGCCTCATGCTGGACACCTGAAATTACCAGCAGCTTCTGAAAACCTGAGCTGCTTCCCTCCCCAACCAGTCCCCAAGGGGCAGCCTGGTCTTCTCAGTCTGAGGAGGCCTTTTTGGCTTTTAGAACAGACTCTAAATTTGCTTTTTGTCCCCCTCTCACTTGCCCAGCCCGTCACAGCTCAGCAGCTCTCCTGTTCCTCTGTACTGCAGAGGGGTCTGTGAACGTCCAGGCTCTGTGCAGGTTGTCTCTTGGTCCGTGTGGGCTGCCCTCAGAAGGTCAGATGAATCTGCTTTGTATGAAAACCCCAATGAAATCAGTGAAGTCTGCTCCGTTTAGTGCGTGTGCCCACACCTGAGCGAGGTTCAACCCTTTCCATCCCATTCCCAGAACCAACATCAGGATTTTACTCTTCTGCTGGGCTCGTATCGACTCAAGGTGGCCCTGGCTCCAGGGTCCTCTTGGAAGGAGGATCAGCCCAAAGGCCCCATGGCGGTGTCAGAGGTGGAAGGTGCTGGTGCTGGGCTTGGCCTGACATTCCAAGATCCTGCTGAGAACTCAGCAGGAGTCAGGAATGGCAAAAGGAGAGCGAAGCCCAGCCAGGCTGCTGGAGGGAGCATGGCACGGCAAAGAGGGGCACTGCAGGGCCAGGGAGGAACTGCTGGAGGGGAAACACGGCTGATTTCAAACAAGGAGTGAGTTGTTATAGCAGTGGTTCAGCATCTGGTCCAGCTGTGGCTGCTGTAGCATGAAGGGGGGCTGCTGCCTTGGGAGCAAAACCAGAGGGGAAGCGAGAAATGTAGCAGCTGAGGAGAATTTTTCTGCCATGTGCCCTTGGCCTCCATACACTGAAAATGGTGTGTGATGCTGTCCTGCCTCCTGAGGATCAGGGAAAGGGGCAGTGTGACTCCTGTCCCCCCCTGGTTGGGTCCTGAGCAATATCCCACTGAGCCTGTTCAGCAGAACCCTGGGGAGGAGGGAGCCTTTTGTGTCTCTGCTGTACTAACTATGCAGGTGCTCACTGCTTTCCTGTGCAAGAGAGAGAAGGGAGGAAAGGGCAAAATAGTTCCCCAGCAGCTTGTGGGGGTCCAGAGCACCCCGACCCACACTGTGTGGACACGAGGTGTCAGCATCTGCCCTGGGAGATGCCAGGGTGGAATCGCTTCTGGTGCTGCACGTCCCTTGCTGAGGAGGAGGAGGAGGAGGAGGAGGAGGAGGAGGAGACCTCGGAGGGGGCGTGTGTCTGTGTCTGTCTGTCTGTGCGTAGTACCCTGTCTGAGGGGAGGAGAACCGTCAACTCTTTGTGTGGCTTCTCTGCCAGTCTTAGTTCCTGGTGTCTCACCCAAAACGTTTATTTGTGTGATTTCCCATGTGTGAGCTTTTCCCAGCGGAGGGGTGTCCCCGAGGAGGGGGGCCCCAGGCTGTGTGTGTTGATGTGTCCTGCCCAGGGACCCCGGTGTTGGTCTGCAGGGAGGCAGCAAGGCCAGGCAGGAGCCCCTGCCCTGAGGAGGGTGCAGAGGTTCCCTTGGTCCTGCTGCTGGGCAGACCTGGTCCAATCCATGTCAAACCGTCGTCACTTTGATTTCTCTGTAAGTTATCCGACTTATTTATGTGGAACTCTGTTTCTCGGAATTTTTTGCACTACATGGGATTGGGGAGGGGATACAAGCAATAGAAGCCAACATGTACAATAAAGACATTTTCTTGAATACTGGATCCTGCCTCTTGCATCCTTCCTTCCTTCTCACTTCTCTGGCTCACTCCTGGGGAGGCAGGAGCTGCTCTCTGCACTGCCCTGGGCAGAGGAGGGGAAGGATCCCCAGGCAGAGGATGCTCATGGAAGGCTCATGTGCATCTGTGCCTGAGCAGCCACTGATGAGATGTGTCAGGGAGGTTTAGGTTGGATATTAGGAAAAGGTTCTTCCCCTGGAGGGTGGTTGGCACTGAACAGGTTCCCCCAGGGCAGTGGGCACAGCCCCAAGGCTGCCAGAGCTCCAGGAGCATTTGGACAATGCTCTGAGGGACATGGTGGGATTGTTGGGGTGTCTGTGCAGGGCCAGGAGTTGAGTCAATTATCCTTGTGGGTCCCTTCCAGCTCAGGATGTTCTAGGATTCTGAGATCTCATCTGTTTGGATGTCACCAGTCCAGCATTTTGCACAGAGCAGGGACAGGCTCCCATTCTGGAGCCCACTTCAGACTGGCCCTGCTGATGTGGATGTAATAGAGGAGACAACAGGGAACAAAACCAGTTTTGAAGGATCTTCTGTGCTAAAAGGAGCAGCTCTTCCCCCAGCTCCTGGCCCCGGGCTCAGCTGATGGTGCTGGATGCCTGGGCAGGGGGGCTGCTGTCCTGTGGACAAGGGGCTTTGTATTCCCAGAGAGGAGGATGTGCTGGGAGTGTCCACCACTCTGCACACATTCCCTCTATCCCAGAGAAAGAGCGGGGCCAAGATGCTGGTGGTCGTGGAGACCACTGGGAAAAGCCCAACTCAAGGCATGGAGGCTTCAGAGGCAGGCTGATTTACACCTCTCCCTGCCCATTAAATTCCAGTTTGGTCTCCCCAGGACTCCCAGTGCTGTTGACAGCTTTTCCTGCAGTGGAAATGAAAACCAGATGAGAGACATCCTCCTGCACCCCCAGCTGCCACACACAGCTCACCCAGGGGCTGGACGGCCCCATTCTGCTTCCCAACTGCTGCCAGTCCCCGCTTCCCGGGGGGAATGCCGAGCCCATTTCACGGTGTGGGGAGTTCCGGGGGTGAAAAGAGCAATGAGAACTGCCTGGCAGCATCCCCTGGGGCCCAGGAGGGAACTTTCCCATGCGTGTGCGCCGCGGTCGAGCCGCGATGCCGCGCGGTCGGAATGCCTGGCTCGGCTGGAGCCCTGCCCGTGTCCTCTTTGCTACTGCTCTCTAGGCTCCTGCTTCTGGCTGGGGCTTCTATAAATAACTGCCGTGCTCTGAAAGCCTTCCTGAAGTCTGGAGGCTGCTTCCCTCCAAGTTCAGGTTCTCCTGGAAGCAGAGCCAGTGTGCCCTCGAGCTGGTGCACCCAGCACGCAGAGAGAGGGGACTGTCCTCAGCCACTGGTCACGCCTGGCCCTGCCACCTGTGGTGGTGTCACTGGTGTCCCAGCGAGCAAAGTGAGGTGTATTTGCAGGACCTGCAGTAGTTCTGTCACTATTCCGAGCTGTAAGGTTTTTATTTAGAACAAACATGCTGGAGGAACGGCACGTTTCTGGTCACAGTCTGACCGTGTTAGCCACGGACCTTAAGAGGAATCACACTTTTCCTGAATAGAACACAGTTGGTGCTGTTTGCTGTAATTTCTGATCTCTGCCAGGAGGTGCTGTGCTGTCAGATAGTCGTTTCCCAGCTGTGCAGAGAGAACAGAGCTCACAGAAGCACCCTGCCATAAAAATTAGGGAATTTCTGATCGAGGCCCTCTGGAGGGGTGTCCTGTTGCTTTGCTTGGCCATGAAGGGTTAATGGATTATATGACAGAAAGGGGAGGGGGACAGGGAGGCTGTTTTTAAAGGTCAAAGATGGGGAAGCCTTGGAGAAATTTTATGGCATATCCGTTATCAGCTGCTCTCTCTGTGCAATCACCTCTTTGGGGAATATGTTGATTTTGTTTCTGCAAGGTAAGATGCAAACAGAGAGAGCCTAACACACCCAATGTGTCTGTAAGACCTCAGAAATAGCCAATCCCAGTTTGATTCAAACAGATTCTCTAAGAAAACACCCTCTCCTGGTTTTAAAAATCCCCTGTTGAAGAAATCACCCGGGACTCACCACACACCCTGGGAGTTGCTGTGGTGAGAAATAACCTTTCCTGTGAAAATACACGCCTTGTTTCCAGCTTCAGCTCACCCACCTTCACTTTCTCTGCATCCCTCCTGGTTCTCTGCCCCAGCAGGTTGTCACAAGTGTGTCACAAGTGTGTTCCCCACGCAGGTGCTTCCAGCATCACCACATCCCTGCAGCCTCTCTGCTGCAAGATGGAGCTGCTGGACTGTCCCTGGGAACAGGGAGGAGGCAAAACCTGCTCCCTGCCCTCTTCCCAGAGGACAGTCCCTGCTCACAGTCACTGTTGTCTCTCCCTGGCTGGCCAGGCTGTAACAGATTTATGGATTTACAGCCTTTGTTGTGCTTTAGAGCCTTCGTAAAATAAGGTGTAGATACCTCACATCACGTGCTTTATAGTAATTGCTTGGGTCACTGTTATTTATATTAACTAAATCTGATTTATTTTTCAAACGTGCTGTCAATTAAATTAGTTTGACAAGATCTAATTTCCACAACCCCGTGTTGATTTGTGTTAATTATATTCTCCTCCTGTAATCCTTAAAGTTAATCCAACTCCCTCACAACTGTTACATCATTTTCCCAGGAATCAGCGTCAACTGACAAACCCATAATTAACTGGGGTGGTTGTTTTACCCATGGAAATACTGATATTCCTGTTAACTTATGCAATTTCTTTGCAAATTCTGTGGTCCTGCGAGACTTCCTGCAACCCAGAACCTTTGTGTTCAGGTCTTTAAAACTCTTTAACGTGAATTCTCTGGATTTTCTGATCCAGAGCATCTGAGTTTTGTGTTTACTTTTTCACAGCCACCTGACCACGGAATGAAAAGGGGTTTGTAATTCCCTATGGCTGTAACTGCCTGTTTTTTTCAATCCATTGCACAGAAATATTTACCTTTTTTTTTTGTCATTAACTACTTGTTATTTATATTTTCACGCAGTAAGGGAATCATACCACAAATCTTTTGTTTTCCTCCTTTTAAAGCATTTCTTCCACAAATACACCTTTAGCTTTGCTGGTCATGCATCTCCTTTTGCTCTTTGCTTCCTCTATCAATTCTCCATAATCCTTAGATTTCAATTAGATTTCCCCTGCTTATTTCCTATATTTTCACACAGTTTATTTACTTTTACACCTTTAATCCGGCTGTTTCTTTTCAACGAACGCCCATTCCGAGCGCAGCCTTTTGAACCCTTGAGCAACAACCTTAAAAGATTTTTGTTAATGCTTAAACAATAACCACCAGTATTATCTTATTTTCCCCCGTCCGGGCTGAACGGTGATCGAATTCCACTCGGGAAAACGCTCCGGATGGGTTTGTTAGTGGCTCCAGCTCGGTGCTGTTGGACAGTAAGGAACGTTCATGCCCTGCACCGCTGGGTTTATAATTCCGTGGTTAATTCCTCGTCACAGGGAACATGTACCTGGCTCGCCCCTCCCAGCCAGCGAGCGGGGCGGGAGCAGGAGTGGGAGCCCCGGCCGGGAGCTGAGCCTGGCTCAGCCCACACCCACTCGAGTCACAGCGGGCGGAAGGGAAGGGAAGGGAAGGGAGGGAACGCCGGCGTGAAACGATCCCACACACAGACCTCCAGCTCCCCACGGCTCCGGGCGCTTCCAGGCGCTTCCCGGCATGGGGAACATCGCGTGTGTCCCGCAGGCACCTGGGGGCTTCAGGAGCTCCTTCCGAAGGAAGCCTTCGCTGAAGAAAGCGTGAGTACCCCAGCTTTTTTATTTCGGGATGGTTTTCCAGCGGGGCTGGTGTTCTCCTGTGGGATGCACCGTGCGGATCCGGGCTGGCGGCCGAGCCCCCGCTCGGGGAACCCGGCGGTTATTTCATATTTCACGTTTCATGCTCGGCGTCCCGTGGTTTTGTGGGGTGCTGGGCAGCGCCCAGGCGGGATCAGCTCGCCCTGACTGCCTGGGATGGAGTCCTCTGCCAGCAGGGAATCCCAGCTCCCCAGGGGAAACACACCCCCCCCCCAGGAGAAACAGGGTTTATTTAATTTTGTTTTGATGGTTGAACTCCTCTCTGTGGGACTGGCAGGGCAAGGTGCAGAACACCCGATACTCCTTGTTTTCACTGGTGGTTTTCTTTCTTCACAACTCCCGGAGTCGCGGTGCTTGTTGGGGAAAAGTAACTCGCACACTCTTGTCCCTTAGAGAGAAAAATCCCAAATCCCAGCACTCTGACACGTGATTTGACCTGTGTTTGTAAACCTGACGGGGGAATAACAGAAAATGTCTGTGAAACCCTTTGGGGATTTGGGTGCTGAGCTGGCCAGGGCAGCGCTCAGGTACCACAGCGATGGGCGGCTGTCCCAAAATAGAGCTTTCCAGGGAATGCACAGCAAGCTTCCCTGCTTTCTTTTCCACTGCCTGTGCTCCCATCAGCACCATC